TTGTTGGCCTTTAGGAGTGTTTTCCAGTCCAGTCTGTTGGGGCACCATGCCCTGGCCCCAAAGTCTGCCTTCAGCATTCCCTGGGGATCTTGCTGCTCCGTTCCCTTGCTGTTTCGCTGCACTCCCACAGTGTTTTGCCTCAGTGTGGAAGGATCAGATCGGGGGAAATTCCCACACTGTCTCTGGTACTGTCCTCCGCAGGGTCATGGGTCAGTGAGGGGCATCATGTCTCATAGTGGGGCTGGCCATGTGGTCTTTTCTGTGGACTGGCTGCTCTAATTGGGGTCATCGTCCTAAAGGCCTGGTGGGCCAGGATGTGCTCCAGTCTCTCCTCCTCCCCCAGCATGTGTTCCTGTGTGCTCTGATCAAATATGTCCCTCTCCCGGAGCTGTGGATTCAGTGCCGTCCTTTGAAATGAATTCTTCTGGGGAGAGGGACAGGCATCTACTTAGTATTTGGGACTGGGGCCAGCCCCCCAGACTTCTCCACTGGTTCCCTACTCCATGCCGGCATGTTGCATTCACACCTTGGAGCACTGGGTTGACATCTGGTCCTTCTTTCCCTGTGGAGATATAAACAATACCCTCCCCTTAGCGCCCCGTGACCCAGCTACCCATTTCTTCCTTATTTTCATCATTTTTTTACCCTTTTCCCACCTCCTCCCCAGTTGTCTACCATGTGCATCCCTGCATTTGATCTGGTCCCTGCCATACTACCTGGGCCTCACCCCAAGATTGTTTGTATACAGTAGCTTTTTCCCTATGCCCTTTTTTGCATTTTTTTAAACGTTTACCTCAGCAGACTCATTTTGTATTTGTCCTTTTGTGCCTGACTTACTTCACTTAGCATGATTTCCTCCAGCTCTTCCCATGTAGCGATGTGCTTCATACGTTTGCTTCATACAGTCATCACTGCTTTTTAGCGATGCATAGTACTCCATTGTATGTATATACCACAGTTTTTTAATCCAATCGTCCGTTGATGGAAATTTGGGTTGCTTCCAACTCCTTGCGATTGTGAACTGTGCTGCAATGAACATTGGAGCACAGATGTTTGGCCTTGGTTTGTTTCTTGCCTCTTCTGGGTAGATGCCCAGTAGGGGGATTGCTGGGTCTTACGGTAACTCAATTTCCATCTGTTTTAGATATCACCAGATCGATTTCCATAGTGGTTGTACATACTTACAAGTCCACCAGCAGTGGATGAGAGTTCCTGTCTTCCCACAGCCCCTCCAACACTTGTTGCTTTCTGATTTTTTGAATCGGGCTGCCTTTGAGGGTGTTAGGTGGTACCTCATTGTTGTAATTTGCATTTCTCTTATGGCTAAAGATCGGGAACATTTTCTCATATGTTTGTTGGCCATTCGGATTTCTGCCTCTGTGAAACGTCTGTTCAAGTCCTTTGCCCACCTCTTAAGTGGGCAATTAGTTTTTTTTTCTTTTTGGAAGCTATTAGAGTTGTAGATTTTAGTAATAAGGCCTTTGTCTGATGTGTCATTGCTAAAGATGTTTTCCTAGTCCATGGACTCTGTTATTACTCTCTTGGTGAATTCTTTCGATATACACAGGTGTTTTATCTTCAGTATACCCCATTTGTCAATTTGTGCTTCCTCTGAGTTTGTGTCCTTCCCTGTTTCTGATAGCCTATGTATTCCCTGTGCCAAAGTTCTCAAGTCGGTCCCAATTCCCTCACTGATGGCCCTAATAGTTTGGGGTTTAACTTCAAGGTCTGTGATCCACCTTCAGTTTATTCTTGTGCATGGAGTAAGATAAGGGTCTTGCTTCATTTTTCTGCAGGTAAATATCCATTTTTTCCAGCACCACTTGTTAAACAGGGCATCACCTTCCCATTTGATAATTTTGGGGCCCCACTTCCCTAATTTTTGATCATGCCCTTTCCCCACTCTATCACTCTTTATTCTTTACTTTAATGTCACCTCTTCCATAAAATTTTTCCAGATTCATTGCAGTAGGATATGAGTTCTCCCTCCTCCGATTTCCTCTAATAATAGTCAACATTCACTGGCCAGGTACCAGACATGTCCCTTACATACATGGACTCTTTGGATTGTTACAGCATCACTGAAGGTCTTATGCTCATTTAATGGATGGAGACATTGAGGCACAGGGACGTTGAGTAATTTGCTTACGATTATACAGGTATTAAATGGAGAGCCAAGATTGATATCTAGGCAGCCATTACTAGAACTCAGACTCTTACCCACTGATCTACTCCCTCTTTTATTATACTCTGTACCATTAACATGATATTGGATGCAAACATATTCCATCATAAAG